AATGGAAACAGACTCCCGAAACAGAAGGGATTCATATGACAGCGGACCCCGGGCGTTTATACCCGGCTAACTACGCCCCGATGCTCAGAGAGTTGATGGGAGACCCAGACAAGTGAACAGAAAAACCCATTTCCTGGATTGGCAGGATAAATTCAGTAAAGATGAACATCCTTCCACGCATATTATTCCTCTTTCAGGCGCTGCCCATCCGAGTCACAAAGACGCAACTGATCCCCCTGCAAAGATCTATAGGAGACTTTATTTGGCAGAACCAGAGACATAGAATCTCCAAACAGATATTATACAGACGTAAAGATAGAGGGGGCTTGGGATTCCCGAATCTCTACTTCTACTACCTAGCGACTCAATTGACGCAGATAGCCATGTGGCACTCCACACCGGATGAGAGAAGGTGGGTGGAAATTGAGTCTATGCTGGTGGGTGTCGATGTTCCCCAGTTTACGATATGGGTCCCTAAGGAACACAGACCGGCAATACGTATAACATGCCCAGCGATACTTAACTCGATTCGAATATGGGACACATGTAACACCAAATACGGGCTGGCATCATCCCCCTCCCCCTTGACCCCAATTCTTAGAAACAGAGAATTCCCGCCTGGCATGACGCCCAGAGATTTTCGCAATATAGAAAGAACAGGACTACAACGGCTACATCAGCTCTATCAAAATGGGGAGGTTGTACAATTTGCAGATCTCCAATCAGGTAATCACCTAACCCCTGCGGATTTCTTTAGGTACGGTCAAATTCGTGATTTCGCTAAAAAACCACACATTAAAACAGCAGCCTTGGGGAAACTCACCTTCTACGAGAGGTTATGTTTGGATGGGGGAGCCCCCAAGGGGATGATCACACTATTATATGCTCACCTTAGTGAAGAAAATGGAGAATGGGGAAGATTGACATACACTGACCAATGGGAGACCGACCTCGGGGAGATTCTGGAGGGTGTCGAGTGGCAGGAGATATGGGAGGCGAATGCTAAAGTCTCAATATGTGTCACCTTCCAGGAGCAGGCATGAAAAACTATGTTTAGGTGGTATACTTCCCCAGTCAAACTACATAGAATGCACAAACGGGAGACTGACGATTGCTGGAGGGGATGTGGAGCCCGAGGAACATACATCCACATGTGGTGGGAATGCCAGAAGTTACGGGGATTTTGGAGGTCCGTGGAGGATCTGTTAAGACAGATGTTTGATAGACCCCTAAAAATGGATCCGTGGATATACTTGTTGAATAGATCTGTGGACGGGTGGACCAGAATGGAACAGAAATTGGTGCACAAGATTACTCTGTGTACACGCCAAACAATTGCGACAGCATGGCTTTCACCTGAGGGCCCAGAATTCACAGGGGTTATTTCCAGAATCAAAGAATGTAGAATTATGGATGATCTAACGGCGAGGGTGAGAGGGACCATCGCGACATTCCAAAAAACCTGGGAACCATGGGACAATAGTATAGTGGGCTCGAGAAGAGACTGAGGGCCTCCCACCTCCGGGTATAAACCTAAGATGTAAACACCCCCATTGAAAGTGACTTGATTGTCAACGAAGTGGCTGCGATACCCCTCCCCTCGACCCCCCTCTCCCTTTTCTATCTCTCTAAGCTCTACTTATCCTATCTCTTTTCTCTTCTTCTTTCTCTCTTCCTCTCTCTTTCTTTTTGTTTTGTTTTTTCCAGGCAAAATCACACGGTCGGAGGAATAATGAAGCTCAAGTACTAGTTTGATTAGCAAATATAACGGCTACTTGTACTACTTAACTGCCTGTTTTTGATTTAAACATAAACTACCTCAATAGACTAGAAACAGAATGGATTTCCTGGAAAGCCAGGGAAATATATAGGTGGATTGGCGCTATATCTAAAGGTCAAGCGGTGCAACAACTCCCAAGTGCCAAAGAATCACCAAACAGCACTTTAAGCATATATCATTGATAAAAACACAGAAAAGAAATAGGGAGGTGCAATGAATAAAATAAACCAGTATTATACTTATATCAGGTGGATCTCTGAATCAACCTAAAAATAAAAAAATATACATAGCATAATACTGTAACACATTAGCAGAATTAATCGGAGGTAATGGGTCACTCACGATCTGCAGAGCCTTGGAAAGCAGGCTCTTGCTGTAAAAGCTTGTGAATAATCAGCTTATTCTGGCTATCTCCAATGATGTTTGGTAATCAGGTATTTTCTCCCACACCACGGATACAAAACCAGATGGATTTTAAAAAGTTTTTTACTTTCAAAACAACAGTAAAATAAGGCACAACGCGTTTCAACCATAACAGGTCTTCCTCAGGTGCATAATATAATAAGTGCACTATATTCTGGTTTATATATGTAGGTAATTACACAATCAAAAACACATGTTAATTGAAATCCATATATGGTCTTTCCGTTTGGATGCTGCCATATTGGGAAGGTCAAAAACCTTCTTTCCATACAATCATATCGTATGTATTTATGTTGCATGTAAGAGGACTACAAACAAAAAAAGACATATAAGGAGCTTCTATAGCAAAGATGGAATAGAATATCAAATTAAAGACCTCTTGACTTGCCATTCAAATAATCTGATTTATCTCATCATATGCCCTTGTGGTTTACAATACACCGGTAAAACCACAAGGGCATTACACATCCGAATAGAAGAACATGGCCAAAACATAATTAAGGGCTTTGAGAATCATAGCGTCTCTACACATTTTAAGATCCATCATAATTGTGAAATGAAAGACACTAAATTCTTAGGTATAAAAAAATTAGAAAGAGATTGGAGAGGAGGGAACTTTGACACAAAAATGAGTAAGAATGAAATGGAATGGATTTTTAAACTAAATTCTCTTACCTCTTACGGTCTTAACACAGACTTTGAGATGTGTCACTTTTTGAAAATAGTCTCTGATTTTACATGTTTTATTCCAATCTTATATGGGTGTTAAGGTCTCTTTTTTAATGTGTATTTGGCTTTTAATATAAAACAATTTTGTTTTACTGTTCCAGATATACCTTTAAAAGATATGTATTTTAATTAACTTTGTAATAATCTTTTAACATGTTATATACTCTTATGTATGGCCTTGGATATCAACCCATTAAGATGTGTATAAATTTCTGCTTTCCCTGGAACATATTAAACATTATAAATAATTATATTTTAATACATTGAAATATATATATTTAAGTTGTTAAAGAATACGTTTTTGATCCTTTGCCATTATCTTTGTTATTATGTCCATCGGATATACGGTTCAGGAAATGAACTGCAAGTTGGAACGCAGAATCTATGACGTATCGGCATACTAACATGTGACCGGAAGTAACAGAGGAACCTGGAACTAACTACAAGTGAGGCTTGAAACGCTGAGCGTCACCGTTTCCATGGTGAACGCCCGCGATTTTACAAGCCGGAAATCCATTATCTTACCTTTGAAGAGGTATATATAACAGGAACTTGTCCCAAAGAAGATACAAAGACTTTTTTTTTCTACATCCAGTTGAAGAAGCTTTTATGGCAAAACGCATCCTGGGAAGCTTGTGAGGAATAGTCTTTATTGTATTGGACTTTTTATGCCTAAATAGTGATATTTTATTAATCTATTTTATAATATTTTTATGTTTAAATAAAGTCTATATATATTTTTACTGTCACTACTGACATTGTTCCTGCTACTCTTAAAAGAAGGATTGTGGTCCTTAACCACATAAACCCTTTGATCAGAGCCGATGTGGAAGTACGAATTTAACTTATTCCACTACCATTTAAGACTTACGGTATTGCACCATATGTGTTCTCCCTTGCTTTAGAAATCAAGAAAGGAAAGAACACTCACCAAAGAAGGGATAGGGTCGCCTTTACGGACCCCTCAAGCGATTTTATTGAGCTATACATACTTAGCTCTTAAAAGTGTGAGTGGGAATTTTTCACTCTGTATTTATTCATACCAAATCTATATCACAGTATACACTATGTTTGGATTTGTTTGTTTATGTTTTTAAGGTATCGCATACTACAAATGGGAATATGGTATTGTTACATTTAAATTTGTACACAAGTACGTTTTACACAGGTTATATTTATAAATATACAGCGCTTCATCTCTATTTCCCTATATGAATATTGCAGACTTAGGTGTTAAGTAACTTTATCTCCTCACTTACTTAGGCATGGGAGTAGCCTTTTAAGGCTAGTTCGGTATTTATTATTATTTTGAGTCGCAGTTTATTTCTGTGTTGATACTTTCTGTTACTTCAGATATTTAGTGGTCTCCCTCTGGTTACATTGTTCCATACCACTGGATGCTTTGGTGCCTATGTCTTTATCTCTAATCAGCATTATATTCAGTGTGTGATTCTTTTGCTTCTTTGTTTCTATATCAGATAAACATTTGCTTGTGAAATTGTTATAGCAGTTAGTATGATCTTAAGCCTCATTTTTAAGATATAACAAGTTAAAACAAAATTATGCAGGTAAGCAAACATGTCTGAGCCTAGAAGGACACTGCTGTATGTGGCATACCGAGCTAACAGCTAACCAGTAACTGTTTCATTTATAAACAGGGCTTGAGAGAAAAAGAAATATACTTGCGTGTATACACATTTAAGTAAAGGTAATGCCTAGACATTGGTAGTCAGGCAACATTATATATTAAAACCACTGCATATTTTGTGAGTAAGGTGTAGGGTAAATTAGTGGAGTAAGCCGTAAATTATGCTTAGTGCGTCTCCTGTCAGTAGATCGTATTAGTCGTTGCAGAGTAAATATGTAGTGCAATGTGCACTTGATGCCTCTTGTATGTAGTAGGGCAATATTGGTGATAAGGCTGTATATGTATGCTAGAGAGGCTAATACCCCCTTGTGAGTCAGTCGATGTGAAAGAAACCGTGGTTCCAGAAGTTGGGAGGGAGGGAATGTGGGCACATTTAATGATTGGTTGTGTTCTTATGAAACATCATTTAGGTTATCTTAGTCATTGCAGAGCTAGAGAGAGTTCATGACACTGACGTGGATGAAGCATTTCCCCACCGGTAGGATATGTTGTGGTTCCTTGGTCAGGGGTCATAGCAATCTGCGCCATTGTCTCTCTGGACAGCTCTGGGTAAAAGGTCAAGTCATGGCCCTCAAAGTACAGAGGAGATTTGTTGCGCGTAGCTACCATGAAGGCCATGCGGTCTTGGCCCAATTGGAAGCGTTTGATTATATCCCTTTCCTTACCTGGGGTAAGTGTGTTTGGCCCAATAAGCCTGTACCAGCCATCCAGCTGTGTAAATTTCGCTTGTTTAGCAGTGAAAAGTGTGCCAAATAGTCTGCAGAACAGATGTGGTATTTCAGCAGACTCTATAGTGTCCGGCAGGCTATCTTCCTGGGATGCCATGCTTTCCCGGGTTTGTGCCTGGGCTGTCTGGAGTGTCGTGAGTTGCCATTCTACCTTTGTTAGTCGGGTCTCATGCGCGGCAGCTTTGATCTCCGTGTTTTGCAAGCATGTCAAGACTCCACTGATTTCCTCCCGGAACAAGCCAATGTCAGCTGCAATATTTTGGCGCAGCTCATCCAGCATGTCCCTCAGTTTCTCCTATGATACCGGAGGTTTCTCCACTCGGTGAGCAGGTAAGTGTACGGATCTGGTTGGGGCCCTAGTATTATAGTCCCCTGAGTCAGAGATAGACGGATCACTTGATGAGTGGTATAAGCCCTGTGTCAGTGATGCCATTGAGGCCCTCTGGTAGTTTTGAGGCCTCCGCAGAAGATCGCCGATATCGGCACTAGACAGGGGCTTATCTGGTTTGGATTTCTTGCTGCGGCCCCCCCATATCTTCAGGCAGGGTTGCTGCAGTAATTTACTTGGAAATGTTCGTAGTTCTTAGTTTTTGGGAGGTTTTTGCTCTGAGCACTGCAGAGATGCGTCCTCTTAGTATGGCTGCTAGCTCCGCCCCTCCTGGATTCTGAATCTTAATAGAAAATGTATTAATGAGGCAAGAAGTAAATCACAGATACTAAAAGAATTAACGAGCTGGTGGGATAAATTTATAGGTAAAATAAGATTTAGAAATAGAATTGATGTTCTTCCATTTTCTATCATTTCAGATATGTTAGATAATATAAAAATAGATCCTTGGAAGACTGGCGGGATAAGCATACTCAGAGACATAATAGGGGAACATCAAATTAAGCCATTAAATCAAATTAGAGAGGAATTTTCTATTTAACTGAATACTTGCGAATCAAAAGCTTTATGGCAGAATACCTCCTTAAAAGTAAGGAGAGAAAAGTCTCATTCACCTCTTTGAACTAAATTTTTTTTAAAAATCTGTTGACAAAATGTGTTAAGGTTATAAATAAATGGAGACATGATAGACCCACAGGACTGATCAAAATATGTGAACAAGAATTACAAATACATGTAGAGGAAGAGCATTGGATAAACTTTCAAATAGATGGTATTTAACACCGCAACATTTAAAGAGAATTTACCCAGAGATGCAATTTACCCAGAGATAGGTGTTAGAGATGCAATGTTAACAAAGGCAACCTAATGCATATTTGGTGGCTGTGCACACCCATAAACAATTATTGGAAAGATATAATAAATGTAATACACCAATTACCTGAGATGGAATTAGGCTTTGAACCTGGAGTAATCTTATTACATTTAAAATGGCCAATAATGAGAAAACAAGTATTAATGTTAATATTACACATTACAATCGCAGCCAGGGCCAGACTGGGAAGAAAATTTGGCCCGGGCATTTTTTAATTACAGCGGCCCACTAAAAAGGGGGCGGGGCCAGATAGGGTGTGTTTTGTCATCACCAATGACAAGCACGCCCCATCACAAAGTGAGCATGTTGGTTCAATGCTCTTCCAGGGTAGACCATGCACAGAGCTCTGCTGAAGAGCTCTGGCATGAGAAAAATACCCTGTATTCGTTCTGCACAGCGCAAGCAAATTTGGCTGGGATACCAGGAGACAAAAATGCCAGGAAAGCATATTGTGCAGTGTGTGTGAGGGTGCTCTGTGTGTGTGCGTGTGTGTGTAAGGGTTGTAGTGTGTGTGAGAGGGGTGCAGTGTGTGTGTGAGTGATGGGTGCTGTGTTTGCGTGAGGGTGCTATGTGGGTAAGGGTGCTGTGTGTGTGATGGGTGTAGTGTGTGTGTCTGTGTGTGTGAGGGTGCTATGTGCATGTGAGGAAGCTGTTTGTGAGGGTGCAGTGTATTCATGTGAGGAAGCTGTGAGTGTGAGGGGTGCAGTGTGTGAGTGAGGGTGCTGTGAGTGTCAGGGGTGCAGTGTGTGTGTGTGATGTGCGTGTCAGGGATTCAGTGTGTGTGTAAGGGTGCTGTGAGTGTCAGGGGTGCAGTGTGTGTGCTGTGCGTGTCAGGGGTGCAGTGTGTGTGTGTGAGGATGCTGTGAGTGTTAGGGGTGCATTTTATGTGTGCTGTGAGTGTCAGAGGTGCAGTGTGTGTGTGAGGATGCTGTGAGTGTCAGGGTTGCAGTGTGTGTGTGAGGGTGCTGTGAGTGTCAGGGGTGCAGTGTGTGTGTGTGAGGGTGCTGTGAGTGTTAGGGGTGCATTTTGTGTGTGCTGTGTTGCAGTGTGTGTGTGAGTGTTAGGGGTGCAGTGTCAGACGTGCAGTGTGTGTGTGAGGTGCTGTGAGTGTCAGGGGTGCAGTGTGTGTGCTGTGCGTGTCAGGGGTGCAGTGTGTGTGCTGTGAGTGTTAGGGGTGCAGTGTGTGTGAGGTGCTGTGAGTGTCAGGGTGCAGTGTGTGTGTGTGAGGGTGCTGTGAGTGTTAGTGGTGCATTTTGTGTGTGCTGTGAGTGTCAGGGGTGCAGTGTGTGTGAGGGTGCTGTGAGTGTTAGGGGTGCATTGTGTGTGTGCTGTGAGTGTCAGGGGAGCAGTGTGTGTGCTGTGAGTGTTAGGGGTGCAGTGTGTGTGTGCGAGGGTGCTCTGAGTGTCAGGGGTGCAGTGTGTGTGCTGTGAGTGTTAGGGGTGCAGTGTGTGTGTGTGTGTGTGTGTGTGTGCTGTGAGTGTTATGGGTATCTGTGAGTGAGGCTGCTGTGATTATACCTGAGTGATTATTTCCCCCCTCCCTGCTTACCTTTAGCCTGGGAGGGGGGATCCTGCTGCTGGGGCTGCCATCCATCCCTGGTGGTCCTAGTGGTGAGTGAACTCTAGCCTGTGAGCTGTAAGTTAAAGCTCCGCCTGGTTCCTCTGCTGGCAGGCTGGCTCCCTCCCTCTCTCCCCACCGGCGGCCGCTGTATACTCTATGTGGGCCGGTGAGGGAGATCTTTGATCTCCCCACCGGCCCGCTGTAGACTACTGCAGGGCCGGCGCTCGGATAGTGCTGGCCCTGCAAAGACCGGCAGGAGAGATCAGTGTTGATATGGATTTTACTGACACTATTTCCACCATGCCTGGAGATGGAACGCATGGTGGAATGCAGAAGTATCACGTGACCACGCCAAACCGGAAGTCACGTGCATTTTGCCGAAACCGGAAGTGGTATTTGTTTTATATTTGGTTTTGTTTTTCATTCTGTGCCTTGATTATATGTATGGGCAAATGCCCTCTGTTGATATGAACTTTATGGACACTATTTCCACCATGCTTGGAGATGGAACGCATGGTGGAACGCAGAAATATCACGTGACTATGCCAAACCGGAAGTCACATGCATTTTGCCAAAACCGGAACTGTTACAATATGTGTCAGTGTGTTTATATGTGTGTCAGTGTATGTACATGTTTGTGCATTTATGTGTGTGTGCCAATGTGTCAGTGTGTGTATCTGTGTGTGTCAATGTGTATGTGTATCTGTGTAATAAGTATGTATGTGGCAGTGTATGTGTGTATGTGCATACATCCCACTAAGCAAACACCAACACTACATGCAAACACACCCCTGTATGAAAATGGCAAAATTATATACAAACACCAACATTACACACAAAAGTACACCTGCATTTGAAAGCTAACATTACATACAAAAACAACCCTGCATTCAAACACAATCATTACATAGAAACATTACAGTGGCAATAGTACATACAAATACACCCCTACATGCACACCCATACTCCATACATAAACATGATTACATTCAAATGCACAAACACAGCTCATAAATACAACCCTGCCAGAATGGGCAAATGGTAGATCCCCAGTTGGCATAGCATTGTACTTTTTGGTCATCCTTGTGCTGTGCTCTCACTCCATTAGTTCTGCCACTGATTTTAAAGATCTGTGACTATGGCTGAATTGAAACATAATTTTTGGTGAGTGCACTTGGTTTTTGATGCAAGCATCTAAGGGTACCACAGTACAATCTTGCAGCAGGAGCATTAGAATCAGAAGTCACCACATAATCAGATAATACCCTAATGGAGACAAAATGTGATATCATAAACTTACTTCTTAACTTTAAAGCATTTCATGCTGTTACCCACAGCAGTCCAGAATGAAGTTCTAATTCCAAAGGAAAAGTTTGCAAAACAAAACAAAACTACCAACATGTTGACCCATATCCTTCTGTTAGGAGATACTCTACTGTAGATAATAAATTGTTTGAATTTGTAGGATTGATACATTTGTTCACTCATTTACCTATATTACTTTTTTGGGGGTGCAGGGGGGTAATATCTTTAAAAACAAAAGGAAGATGTGTGGAGAATAAGATAACAACTTACTAAAACTATATATAACTAGTGAAAGTTCCCTGGTAGTTATGGTCGTAGTCCCTGCTAGATCCCTAGTGAAAGTTCCCTGGTAGTTATGGTCGTAGTCCCTGCTGGATCCCTGGTGAAAGTTCCCTGGTAGTTATGGTCGTAGTCCCTGCTGGATCCCTGGTGAAAGTTCCCTGGTAGTTATGGTCGTAGTTCCTGCTGGATCCCTGGTGAAAGTTCCCTGGTAGTTATGGTCGTAGTTCCTGCTGGATCCCTGGTGAAAGTTCCCTGGTAGTTATGGTCATAGTTCCTGCTGCAGCAATAAACCCAATTCTATTGCGTCTCACAAAAAAATTGGTGTTTTGTGACCAAAAAGGATCAAAAGGACACTTTTTCTTTTTTTCTTTTTTAAGCATCTTAAATATAATAAATCTATCGTCAACACTATGCATTGTCTGATCAAAAAATAAAAATAAACTAATTGCAAACCAATAAGTGATATACAGAACCTCAAAAAATGATGAAAGCATAAACCAAAGTATATAAATAAAATGACCAATAAAATCAATGTCTGTGAATAAAATGTTCAAATTACATTTGGTATAGCTATCATGTATCAACCACTTAAACTGTGATACAAATGTAGCAAAGCACAAATACTGTATCCCATCATCCACAGACATTCACAACTGAGCCTTGAAAGAGAACATTGGAAAACATGTAGTGTAATACAATATAATCTCTTAATGCACATGCGCGTTGAACCCTGCTTGTGCATTAGGCCTTCCCCATAGGAAAGCATTGACTCAATGCTTTCTTATAGGGTTTTTCAAGACATTGGACATCTTCATGCAAAGCATGAGGATGTACAGTATCGTTGGCTCTCTGAGGCAGTGTTAACCCTGC